TTTTCTTCAAAATAAATATTGCTCCCATTACCGCTTGGCTGCAGTTCAGTGGAGGGTGGGGGATTCCAAGATTTGGAAAGTCATTCCTAAAGCGAGAACTATGGCTAGCAAGTTTATCTTTTGTAATGTTGGGGAAGGTAAGATCTCCGTGTGGCATGATCAATTGGGTTTGGAAGATTAGAACTTTTTTCTTCAACAAGGTTTCTCTAATGATTTTATTCTCTGATTTATGGCTTCATGGTAATTGGGAGGTCAATAAATTGAACGAATATTTCAGCATCTAGGCTGCTAGAATCTCTAAAATCTCTATTAATAATATTATGAGAGACACTCCTATGTGGAAATCCACGGCTTCTACCTCTCCCACTAAAATGCTCTATACTAACCTTTATCAATTTAGAACTTGGAGGTGGGGGTGGTTTATCTGGAACAAATTTTTATCACCCTCTATTGTTTTCTTCTTATGGAGGTTTTTTTATTAATATGCTACCTTTAGATGATATTTTAAAACTTAAAGGTTTGAAATTGGCATCCCAACACTATCTTTGCAAGATGAATTTAGAAACGACTGAGCATCTTTTCTTCCTTTGTCCCTTTGCTATTGCTACTTGGAATAGGTTTGGTAATCATTTTAATGTTACCTGGAGGCTTGCATCCTCTATTCTTGATTATATCTCTATCTAGAGAGATGCTACATAGGTGGATAAAATGCTCTTTTGGTTTCTTCTGGTAGTTTTTAGGTTTATTTAGATGGCGAGAAATGATGCTCAATATGAGAATGCTATGTTTCACCCTAATTTCACTGTCTCTAATATTCTTGCTCATTTCAAAGAGCCTACAAAGCTCTTCCCTTAACCAATGATCTGGTGCTGTCAAGTTTGGGTAGGATGACCATCTTCTTTAAATGGCAACACCCACCTTCAGGTTGGTTTAAGTTTAATATTGATGGTATTTCGAATTCCAATGTTGCAGGTGCGGGGGGTATCTTGAGGAATCATGTTGGGCAGTGTCTGTTTTACTTTGCATCTCCTCTTTTCGCTTCTATGCCATTAGATGCTAAATTTTGGGCTTTATTGTTGGCCTTGCAGGTTGTTGTACAGCTTAAGCTATGAAATATTATTTTTGAAACAGATTCGCAAATTGTTTTTAATGAGTTTTACAAGAGTACAGGGCCTAGATTGGATTTGCTTGCCATTATGAATCATATTTTTGATGTTATCCAATGATAAAATTTAAATATTCAGTTATCATTTATTTATAGGGAAGGCAATTCCCCGACTAATTGGCTTGCTAATAAGGGTAGGAGGCCGGCCGAGGTAATTTATGGGATTTCTCCCATGTCGAAGCTTATATCTTTTATTGTGGGAAACTTGATTGAGTTCTCTTT